GACTCTGTCTCAAAAAAAAAAAAAAAAAGACTGGCATCCAAAAATAGATGAAAAAATTTCAAAACCCAATAGGGAAACAAGCCTTTTGTTTGTTTGTTTTTTGGGATGGAGTCTTGTTCTGTCACCCAGGCTGCAGTGCAATGACGTGATCTTGGCTCACTGCAACCTCCACCTCCCGGGTTCAAACAATTGTCTTGCCTCAGCCTCCCAAGTAGCTGTGATTACAGGCACACGCTAACACTTCTGGCTAATTTTTGTATTTTTAGTAGAAACAGGGCTTCACTATGTTGGTCAGGCTGGTCTCAAACTCCTGACCTCGTGATCTGCCCACCTCGACCTCCCAAAGTGCTGGGATTAGAGACGTGAGCCACCACACCCTGCCCAAGCCATTTTTTTTAAATAGACAAAAGATTTGAAGAGACATCTCATCAAGGAAGACACACAGATGACAAATAAGCCCATGAAAAGATGTTCAACATAATTATTTATTGGTGAAATGAAAATTTACACCACTATGAGATACCACCATAAACCTAGTAATAGCTTTTTAAAAACTGACTATACCAACTGCTGTCCAGGATGAAGAGTTGCCAGAACTCTCATACATTGTTGGTGGGAATACAAAATGGTGCAGCCATTTTGGAAAAGAGTTTGGCAGTTTCTTACAAAGTTAAACATAAACTTACTATGCAATCCAGAAATTGGAGGCAAGATTGGAGGGAGGCAGAGGTTGTAGTGAGCCAAGATCTTGTCACTACACTCCAGCCTAGGTGTCAGAAACAAAAAAAAAAAAGGAAGGAAGCTTGGGCAACAAAGTGAGGCCCCATCTCTATAAAAAATGTAAAAATTAGCCAGGCATTCAGAAGACTAGGTCATATCAGGGGAAAAAAAATCAGCTTGGAGAGTGGGTATATGCCTATAGTCCCAGCTATTTGGGAGAGAAGAGGACCTTGTGAGTCCAGGAGGTAGAGGCTGCAATAAGCAATGATCGCACCACTACATACCAGCCTGGGTGGGAGAGACCATGTCTCTAAAAGAAAAAAGAAAAAGAAAGGAAGTGGGTGCAGTGGCTCATACCTGTAATCCCAGCACTTTGGGAGGCCAAGGCAGGAGGATCATTTGAGGTCAGGAGGTCGACACCAGCCTGACCAATATGGTTGGTGAAACCCCATCTCTACTAAAAATACAAAAATTAGCCAGGTGTGGTGGCGCACACCTGTAATCCCAGCTACTCGGGAGGTTGAGGCAGGAGAATCACTTGAGGCAAGAGTTAAAAGACTAGCCTAGCCAACAATGATGAACTCCAAGAGGCAGAGGTTGCAGGGAGCCAAGATCGTACCACTGCACTCCAGCCTGGGTGACAGAGCGAGACTCTGTCTCAAAAAAACAAAAAAAGAGAAAAAGAAAGGACATTCTGATACATGTTACCACATGGATGACCTTTGAGGATATTATGCTAAATGAAAGAAGCCAGTCACCAAAAGACAAATACTGTATGATTCCACTTACATGAGGTAGAGTAGTCAAAATCAGAGAGAAAGTAGAAGGGTAGTTGCCAGGAACTTAGGGGAGGAAGAAATGGGCAGTTATTGTTTAATGGGTACAAAGTTTCAGTGTTTAATTTTTTATTTATTTATTTATTTTGAGACCTGAGTCTTGCTCTGTTGCCCAGGCTGGAGTGCAGTGGCACGATCTCAGCTCACAGCAACCTCGACTTCCTGGGTCCAACCAATTCTCCTGCTTCAGCCTACCAAGTAACTGGGACTACAGGTGCATGCCATTGCACCCAGCCAATTTTCGCATTTTTAGTAAAAATGGGGTTTCGCCATGTTAGCCAGACTAGTCTCTAACTCCTGAACTCTGGTGATCTGCCTGCCTCAGTCTCACAAAGTGCTGGAATTACAGGCATGAGCCAAATGCACCTGCCCTGTTTTATTAAATATTGTTACGGGGTCTTGGAGGGGAAAGGGACACTGGCCCTATTCCCTTTCCAATCAAGTTCGCCCCAGGTTCTTGTCCTTCACTTACCCAAGAATGGGAAAGGGGACAACTTGCCAGCGAAGGTGAGCACCTTGGAGTAAATACCGGACCCAAAAAGTTTTTTGCATAAAGTGATTTATATAAGCAGAGAGAAAGAGAAAAAAGGAGACGGGGGAGACAGAAACAGCTAGCTTTTACACCGACTGAGGAGAAAGAAAAGCTGCTCTTACACTGAGTGAGAAGGGTTCCCAGAGGGGGAAAATCAGGGAAGGAAAACTCTCACACTGAGTGAGAGAATCCAGAAAAATGGAATCCAGGAGAGGGAAATCAGCTTTCACGAAGGTAGTGGAAGGGGACCCAAGTATGGAATCCAAGGAGGTGTGGAAGAAGGGAACTTTTAACCTGGGAAGAATTCCCACCTTCTCCAAGCCCCCTGGCCAATGAAAAGAGTTCCTTTAAACTTCCGCTGGAGTAATTGATCTTTGATCCTTTCCCGAGCACCACAGTTAAACAAAGATGGTTAAGTCTCCCAGATGGAGACGTGGGGGAAGGCAGGTAGGGCATGTCGCTGGGAAGTTCCTGCCCTAGAAACTACGCCCCCTGTGGACCTGGGAAGAGAACATATTCCCTCAGTCTCTGTCGCCCAGGCTGGAGTGCAGTGGCAAGAACATGGCTCGCTGCAGAGTCTCCACCTCCTGGACTCAAGCTATCCTCCCACCTAACTCTCCTGAGTAAGTGGGACTACAGGCACATGCCACAATGCCCAGTTAATTTTGTTATTTGTAGAGACTGGGTCTCACTATGTTGCCCAGGCAGGTCTCAAACTCCTGGGCTCAAGTGATCCTCCCACCTTAGCCTCTCAAAGTGATGGAATTACAGGTGTAAGCCACTGCGCCCAGCCAGAGTTTCATTTTTATAAGATGAAAAGCACTATGGAGATGGATGGTGATGATGCTTGTATAACATTATGAATGCATTTGATATCACTAAACTGTACTGTTAAAAATAGTTAAGATGGCCGGGCGCGGTGGCTCAAGCCTGTAATCCCAGCACTTTGGGAGGCCGAGACGGGTGGATCACGAGGTCAAGAGATCGAGACCATCCTGGTCAACACGGTGAAACCCCGTCACTACTAAAATACAAAAAATTAGCCGGGCATAGTGTGCCTGTAGTCCCAGCTACTCAGG